TGCCTGCCTTTCCCTTCTCTTGCTCAGCGCGGAGGCCTTTGCGCCAAACTCAAATATCCAATCCACTGTCGTTGCCTCAAAAACGGAACGACAAGCCCTTTGGAGACATTGGGTACCAGAGACCGATGCTTGGGATCCAGAAGTAAAATCACAATCCATGTCAGCAACTAGAGTAGAAATGGAACAGGTCGAACAACAACAGCAACAACAGAAGCAACAACAACAACAAGAACAAGGATCGATGCTGAAAACTGCCCTGGCCAGTTCTCTATTGGCAGTCGTGTTGGCGATTGCTCCCAATGCGGGTGTTGCCGTCAGTGGCGGTGGTTTGGACTTTGCAGGTTTGGATATTTCGGGCCAAGATTATGCCGATAAAAATTACAAGGGCAAAGACTTTACTCAAGTGATTGCCAAGGGAACAAACTTTGCCAAATCCAATTTGCAAGGGTGTCGATTTTACAAGGCGTATTTGGTCAATGCTGACTTTTCGGATGCTGATATTCGAGGAGTCTCAATGGAGGACACTAGTATGGATGGGGCTTCCTTGAAGAATGCCATTGCGGTTGGATCTTATTTTGGTGATAGCATTTTGGAAGTCAAATCCTTGGAGAATGCTGACTTTACAGACGCTCAGTTTCCTGTCAAGGCGTTGCCCCAACTATGTGAACGAGAAGATATGAAGGGAACCAACCCAGTTACTGGAGCTGATACCAGGGAAAGTGCCATGTGCCTATAGATTTTTTTTCTACTTTATGAAACAGTGAAAAAAGACTCCCATTCTTAAGAATTCTAAAAAGCTAGCTATTGGATTTGATTGATTGATTTGATGTTTCTTTTCATATTATTTCAAAATATTTCACTAGAGATGAAAATATTGCTTTGGTTTTGGGTCTTGACCATGAAATAGTTTCTTGCAGTGCTCCTGATCTGCTGGATGACCCCACCCTCCGTATCCTTGATCGTGTGCTTTTGGAAAATCCATGAACCTTCCAACCTCACTTAATTGACCACTTAATTTTGCATGAAATGGTTGGAGTCCAATAGTAATGGCTTCTTCCAGTTCTGAATTTTCATAATGGTCATGTAGTCCACCATCAATACCAATGTGCAACACTTGGGGCTCGTTGGGGACCAAAGTCTTGCATGGAAGCAGCCCTTTCCCCATCAAATGGACCATCGACCAGTCCCTGCAGTAGGAATATTAAAAAAAAGAAAGGGCAAGCAACTAGTTAGCTGTGTTGGCGATACACGTAACCAAAAAGTGTGCACTGATGATGACGTACCAATTGTAATCATCAAATTCGCAATACTGATTCGAAAATTGCTGGAGCAGGGCAAACATGTGTCTCCCGATGGTCATGGGACCCGAGACAAATCGTTTTGTGGTCCATTGGTTTCTCTTTTTTGGAATCTTGTTGGCAAAATTGTCGCTAATGTCCAGGGTCAATCCAAAATACTCATCTTTTTTATTGTCCTGATCCAGAAAGCCAAATCCAGTCTGCAAAGTCTCGTAAATGGTAGGGGCCACAAGGTAGTCTTCTTCCATAAACAGGAATCCAGCCGCCATTTTTACACTTGTCAATTCAAAGACCTCATTGATCATCCACGTAAAGTGGTGTTTGAGGCAGCAGACATGGGCGTCTCTTAGATTGCCGTACGAGTCACCTTCGTACCCCTTGTTGAGGCTTGGGTCGTCTCCCGGAAAAGAATTTGGATGCTCGATGCAAGAGTATGGATGAAAGAGCTGAATGACCTGGAAATCTGATTGGATGCTCTCTACAAAATTAATCATCTCTTGGATACGCCCATCATGAGATATGATGATGGGAACAGTAGCGCGAGGGAAATCAGATTTTCGCAAGGAATCGATCACTCTCTTGAAGTAATCTACTCGTTTTTGCACCATGAATACAATCGGAATTTCATACTTGTAGGCTTGCTGTTTGTGACTCAAGTCATCCCCCGTCTGAGTTGGATTGAAGTTGGATGGTTTGAAATCATTGTGAAACGGAGTGGAACCAAAACCTTTTACTGTATCTTTGACTGTACCAAACAATTCCAGTGGATGATTCAACTCTTTCCACATTTGCTTGCACAATGGTGTAGTATCAAACTCTTCGTTCTGCCCATGTTTGTATCCCTCTGTTTCCACCAATACCCTCAGCTTACTTCTTGTCCAAACATTGTCCTGGACCCCTTGTTCGAGCCCACGTCCGTCTCCTTGTGAGAGTCGACGATCGAGCCAGACATCAATCGTACCATCTTCCAACGACGCTGTACCTTGAGAATGTTCACTCAAAACAGTAAGTCTCCGATCCGAATCTTGTATGGAAGCATGAGTTGGCATTGGATATACTTGGGCTTGAATTGGTAAATCTGGTCGATGATAATGAGTATCGAAATTGAACCCATTCAAGTCCGTGTGGAATACCCCATCACTTTGGATATCGGTGTTGAATCGCACCAGCCATTCCTCTTCGTCATCCCGGAGATTGGTTTCGTATATAAACTCAATGAAAGTCGCCTTACCTTGAAAGTTAGTGGGAACAGTCCTTTCAATCACAGTGCGACGCCAGTTCTTTGTTTTCACCACAAAGCCGCCCATTTCAATCTGGATGTCAATGCCTTTGTAGTCATGAAGACTACCTGGAACAAATAAATATGCACCACCCTCATTGACCGACCAGACCATCCATTGTTCCTTTATTGGATGCGTCATTAGACCCGACAACGGGTCAAACTGAATAATAGAATTCGGTATCGAACCAGGTCGTTCACAAGGAAGTGTTCCCATACCCATTGAACGGCCCTTCACGCTCACATCCCCGCATAGTTGTTCTGTGTCCAAGGGATTGAACAGCAATACTTGATCAGATTCATTACAGAAGTTGACATCCATTCCGCGGCTTGATGGTGACTGCCAGCATGGTTGCAAGGTGCCCAGATGCTCATGTTCCGCCGTCAGTTTCTTCACCATCCATTGCTCGATATCTAGAATCGCATTTTGCATTCGGGTCGCGTAATCTTCCATCACCTTGTCCGTCGCAGTTCCCGTAATGGCATCGTGATGCTGAAACAGAGACATTGATCTACGGGCTTCTCGCATTTCCTCCTTGGTTGCGCCCATTGTCTCCGCCGCAAAGAGCGTCCGCTCTAATCGGCGACCCAGAGCTTTGTCAAAGGGACGGCTCGTAAAGTACCCCGACCAGTAGTCCTCCTTGTGGTCTGCGTATGTGAAGAAGGAACCCTTCAATATTGGTGGGTCGAATGTACCAATGACGGCATCAAAGTATTCTGACAAAGTGCCAAACTGGATGGACACGCCTGCGATGTTTTCGTTCAGGTAGTCAAAGAGGAGTTGATGGTTTTCAAACTGCGCTTGGGCTTCAGCAAGAGTTCGGTATCGAAAATCATCGCCAACAGGAGCAATGACAACATTTGATCGGAACAGAGACGCCTTCTTCCGATACTGATCTAGCAGCACCATTGCTCGTTTTGCGACATTCCGTTGGTGGATTGGTTTAACCTTCAATTCCCATGGGCACTCTTTCGTGTATACAATACCATCAGCATCAACACCTACGTTTGGTAAGCGTGCGAAATCAAAAGCACAGCAGACTTCTGGATCTGGACCACACGAATGCGGGACATCGTAGCTGAAAAATGGCATCATATGAGTAAACATATCATACTCCCCTTCATCGTCCCACGTCTGGCGCCACAAAAATTCAAGCTGACGGTGCAACGCCAGTTCCTTCTTCACTGCATAGTGTACCCGTTGAATCAGCATCCCCTTGAATCCGTACTTCTTTAGCAAGTACGCCATGGTAGGAGAGAATCCGAACGGATCGATTGACCAGCCATACTTTGGAATGTATTCTTCGCCAAAAGTCTCCCGAATGAAATCATGTCCTTCTTGCAATTGAACCTCCATGGCATATAAGTCGGTGTTTGCCTCGTCTGGTTGAACCCATCCACCAGTAACAAACTCGAATTGTTTATTGCGGAGAAGCATTCTTACAGTATCCTGTATATCAGCAGATTGCTCGTTCCACCACTTTTCAAAGAAGGAAATCTCAGCCCAAATGAACTTGCGTCTCTGGTCTTGCTGAAGGGATTCCATGATTGTATCGAGAATGTGTTTGGTTTGAGACTGGTAGTATTCGTCAAATGTTTTTAGCCAACCCGGATCACTTGAGAACCCCATCATGAGAACGAATTACTTTTAGATTGTGAATATGACTGAGTTTTCGGCCTACTTACCAGTGAGAATGAGGTACCACAAACACCTTCAATGGAGTTGTCTTGGAAATAGGAATTGGGTCCAACTCAAACCCTTGCGCCCAGGTACCTTTTCAAAACGAACGCAGAAAGGAGAATCCAAGATGAAATGAGACAAGGCTGGAAACACTGCAATGTGAAAATTCCTCCCAGTTTGACTCACCCCCATCAGGATTTGCAAATGGAAGTGTCCTGCTCCATTCACGCATGTCGATGGTTTCATGGCCATCCGAGTCAGGATCGGCATATTTGCCAGCTGATGCTCCCATGTCCTTTGCTGGGTTTCCAGCAATATCGAAACCTGAGTGTTGTACTTGACTGCTGGTGATCTTTCCTCCAGCCTTTCCCTGAGCCCCGTTTCCTCGTTTTCGTAGCAAGTGTTGAATTTCAATCAGCTTTGTTGATTTTTCGTCAGTTGACTGAATAACATAGTACAAACCCCAGAACCACAAGAAGATCAAGAGTATTCCAATCCAACCGTAATTGAGGAATATATGCAGGTCAAAGAATTGGTTCCTCTTATCACCGATGCGGCTTGCTGTCCGCACTGACGGATTGGTTGGGGGGGCTTTGGTCAGAGCAGTCTTCGTCTTATCTCCTCGGCTTGCTGTTGCCTCCAAGCCATGTTGCTGTCGGGATCGAAGTGTTGTCATCGTGAATAAAAGGATAGTATCATAATTGCACTCGAAGTGTGTTGCCTATCATCGTTACTCATCCGCTGTTATTGTGATGGAAGTCGTGAAAAGAAAGTTGAGAGGTCATAAATAGGTGCGTGTGCTAAAGTCTGAACATGTGAGCAAACTGGACTTCACGAAGACCTTTGCCCCCTTCGCTAGCTACAACAAATGGTATTTTCTTTTCTGCTATCGCATAATACGCGAATTAGAATTATCAATACCTTTGTGGAACCCGAAAATTTGGAGTGGGTGATTCAGCTCTTCCCACATACCTTTGCAAAATTGTGAAATGGAGAAGTCTGGGTTATTCACTACATATCCACTCCTTTCAATAACGACCCGCAGCCTTGTTCTTGTTGGTAAATTATCCGTTACCCCTTGCCCTAATCCACGTCCATCATCTTGTTTAAGTCGTCGATCCAGCCACACATCTATCGTTCCTTCTTTCAAAGACGCTGCACCTTGTGCATGTTCGCTCAGAACCGTAAACCTCTGCTTGTAATCTTCAATGGAAGCCAGCATTGGCATTGGGTACACTTGAGCCTGAACCGGCAAATCTGTTCGATGATAATGAGTGTCGAAAGTAAAGCCATTCAAATCTGTATGGAAGATCCCCTTGTTCTCAATGTCCGTCGAGAAACGAACAAGCCATTCTTGGTTGTCTTTCGAAAGATTCGTCTCGAACACAAAATCAATAACAGTTGCATCTTTTCCATCAAAAGTCTGGCAGTTCCTCTCTATTATCGTTCTATTCCAATCGTTGGTGGTTACCACAAACCCTCCATTCTCGATCCTCGTATCAATCCTGTGGTATGCCGATGATCGCTCGGGAAAGAAGAGATACGATCCACCCTTCTCGACATTCCATATCATCCATCGCTCGTTCAAGGGTTTGATCATGAGACCTGTTCGTGGATCAAATTCGAATTCAGTATTGGATCCTTCGGATGAACCTGATGCCTCACATGGATAGGTTGCAGCACTAGACTCTTTTGCTTCGACGATGACGTTTCCACATCGTTGTTGCTTGTCAAGAGGATTGTACACGACAACTCGGTCGCCGTCTTGACAAGTGCTGGAACTCGGAGATCTAGTGTCATGGTAGTGATTGCATGGAGATAGATTATTCCGGTGTCCCAGCTCTTCGAGATCGATGTGATTCATCATCCACTGCTCTACATCCTTTAATGCCTTTTGCATTCGTGTCGCGTAGTCTTCCATCACCTTGTCCGTTGCCGTCCCCGTGATGGCATCGTGATGCTGAAACAGAGACATTGCTCGACGAGCGTCTCGCATCTCCTCCTTGGTTGCGCCCATTGCACTAGCGGCATACAGTGCCCGTTCCAGCCGGCGACCCAGAGCTTTGTCAAAAGGACGGCTCGTAAAGTACCCTGACCAGTAGTCCTCGTTCTGATCTGCGTACGTAAAGAATGATCCCTTGAGTATGGGAGGATCAAAGGTACCAATGACTACGTCAAAGTATTCCGACAAAGTGCCAAACTGAACTGAGACGCCTGGAAAGTTTTCGTTCAGGTAATCAAAAATATGCTGTAGGTTTTCAAACTGCGCTTGGGCTTCTGCCGTGGTGTCAAATCGAAAGTCGTCACCGAGAGGCGCAATGATAGCAGTTGATCGGAACAGAGACGCCTTCTTCCGATACTGATCTAGCAGTGACAGTGCCTTTTCTTTCACGTTGGCTTCTGTAATTACCTCTGGCTGTGTTCCCCAAGCACATTTTCGTGGCTTGTACTTATCTCGATTCAGCTCGGGCAAGCGTGCGAAATCAAAAGCACAGCAGACTTCTGGATCTGGACCACACGAATGCGGGACATCGTAGCTGAAAAATGGCATCATATGAGTAAACATATCATACTCCCCTTCATCGTCCCACGTCTGGCGCCACAAAAATTCAAGCTGACGGTGCAACGCCAGTTCCTTCTTCACTGCATAGTGTACCCGTTGAATCAGCATCCCCTTGAATCCGTACTTCTTTAGCAAGTACGCCATGGTAGGAGAGAATCCGAACGGATCGATTGACCAGCCATACTTTGGAATGTATTCTTCGCCAAAAGTCTCCCGAATGAAATCATGTCCTTCTTGCAATTGAACCTCCATGGCATATAAGTCGGTGTTTGCCTCGTCTGGTTGAACCCATCCACCAGTAACAAACTCGAATTGTTTATTGCGGAGAAGCATTCTTACAGTATCCTGTATATCAGCAGATTGCTCGTTCCACCACTTTTCAAAGAAGGAAATCTCAGCCCAAATGAACTTGCGTCTCTGGTCTTGCTGAAGGGATTCCATGATTGTATCGAGAATGTGTTTGGTTTGAGACTGGTAGTATTCGTCAAATGTTTTTAGCCAACCTGGATCACAGTGCGAATGTGGAACTACAAATACCTGCAAGGGTCGATTCTCGGAAATCGACACTGGCTCCAAATCCCACCCTTGCGACCAGGTCCCACCGTCTGGATTGTCAAATGGCAGTTTCAAGTTCAAGTCTCGCATATCAATGAAGGGATGCTCTTCGTCATTCACAAGATACTTTGGTTCTGGTCTCTCATGAGGCCTGGTCTTTCCAAAGTAATATCTCTGCACGGGTGGACCTGCTGGTCTTGGTGGTTCAGGATGAAATAAGGAACCCAAATTCGAATGCAGTATTCGGCTTCGCAGTTTTTTCTTTTCCAACAAGCTCGAAGAAGAGCCCCCAACTAACAGAAATCCAACGAGCCAAGCTGCAACCAAAATAAGAAAGAGCAAGACATAGGCCGTGTACCTCAGAATCACATCACATCTGTCTTGATTTTGGTATTGTTGTTTTTGTTGTCGTGATCGTTTCCTGTGACGTTGGGGTGGAAGTCTTTGGAAGCCATTCGTAGGTGCGATTTCTGGTGGTTGGAAAGAAGAGGGGCTATTAGTCTTGCTACGTAAAGTGGCTTGCCGAGACCTCACCACGGCATTCATTGTTTGTCATGTCGTTTCACTGCCATTTTTTCAAACGATGATGAAGTACAGTAAGGATATGGGACGAATTAGTCGGTCTGATCAAATGGACTCGCGCGAATTCGATGAATCCCAGATGATTTCACATGCCGTGCCGGCGATTGTAATGCCAGCCGTTCGTCGTCTTTGTGCCACCATGCGGAAGGAATTTAAAAAAGGTACTCGCCCAGTACCTGTTCCTGGTACGATTTCCACCGTACATACAAAAAGGCCCAATCAATCAAACTGATATCTTCTGATCTTCGGAGGATGATTGATTTCTGTAACTTTTCATTGCATTCTTCATTTTGCGAAACCGAAAAGCAACACTTTCAACCTGTACAATCAATTCTTCCAAGATGGTGGATCCCATGCAAGGCGGCAATACAAGATTTGCCTCGGAGCCTAACATGGTTAGGCCCACCATGAGCACTACGGCACACTACCAGCGACAGTCGATCCGTCAAAAGATTACATTTGATGCCAAAAAGTTTGATGTGACGACCCTGCCGATCGACATGCAACGAGTGGTCGCAAAGCTCACCAAGGACTTTGGGGAAGATTATGCTCTTACCTTTGCCTTTATGGTGCGCACTGCTTCCGAGCTGCACCGTGCCTGGCACATGACGCTCTTGACCAGCAAGATCCTCCAGCAAATCAAGGACAAGTTCCAAATCCGAACTACTTGGGAGCTGGGAGTCACCAAACTCAAGTTTCGTGCCGAAGATGGAAGTCATGAATTGCATCGCAAGGTTCCATATGATTATGACTCAGAGTTTCAAGGTGGGTCTATTACTACATGTTTGAGATACAGATGCAATTGTTTGGCTGTTTCTGATATTATAGCAACTTACCATTTGCATTCGTTTGTAACTAGATTTATACGCAAAAATTGCGGTGGCTCTTGTGGATGGTCAAATCAATATTCACCAAGCACTCACTTTTCAGTCCAACACCAAGCGCGGAAAACACACTGCCGCTAGTGGCTTGTTCCTTCGGGACTTTCCAGGACGCTTGGTCTTGTACCCGCTGGAGGCAGCAACCTGCGCTGTCATTTTCTTTGGCGGAGATTGGGCGGACGCTGGTGTTGCTGCAGTGACTGGTTTGTGTGCCGGCCTTATGGAATGGTTCCTTGTCTCATTGAACAGCAATGCCAAGATTCTCATTGATGTCCTGGTTGGAATTACCACTGGAATCGTTGGTGGCTTGTTTTATCGATATCTGGATGAACCAACCTGTCTACCGGCTGTATTTTTGGGAGTACTGTATTGGTTCTTTTACGGTACCGCCTTTGTCATTGGTAAGATTTCGTGACACGCTTTGGGAATGTTGTGTCGCCATGCTGTTTCCTTCTAGAGTATGTGGCTCACTTTTCGCTCGTTTCGTTAGGAATTCTTGAAATTGTTGCTGGAGAATTGGAGACGGGAGTCATTCGATTCATGGCAGTAGCAGTGAAGACATTCGTTCTTTCTCTAGGTAGTACTTGGGGTTTGCAAATCGCTTCCAGAAGCCCTATCGACGACTTTCAAGACACTGCTGGTTGCAACAATATTGATCTTGATACAGTTTGGTGGCGCATTCCACTATACCTCTTGTGTTCGGCCAGTGCTCTAGGACAATACCGATTTCCCATTGTTTACTACTGGCGTGGACTTGTCATCCAACTCGTCGGATATGAAGTACAATATCAAATGTTCAAGTTGTTGGCACAAAGACACGATCGTGACTTGCTGGATACTGCAACGGCGAATGCTGCAGGTGCTATCGCAGCAGTCATTGCAGCCTGTTTGCTGTCTTGGATCGTTGACTCGTTGAGCTACTATTACAATGCACGAACCTTGATGCGGGTTGGTGATGATGAGTATTCAAAATTTGGAGAGTGTGTCTACAGCATCTCGGTTGTTTGGCTCCGCTTCATGACCTGCCTAGGTCTCGGACGAAAGGATGAACAGGAGTTCTTGGATATGCAACCAAGACTACGTCAAATGAGTTCCGAACTTGATGATCCAAACAACCCTAGAACCGAAATCCGGCTCTCAGAGGAGGAGGAACGGCTCTTGAAACAAGCCGTGGTTGCGTCCAAGCCTCTCAATGTATGGTCCTTGCTCATGCCCACTGTATACCAACTTGTTCCTGGGTCCTTGATTGCTCGCTTGTGGTACAATTCCATCTTTCCTCCACCATATGTCCAGGAAGAGCTACAGGTCGTCGGCACTGATGGATCAGATACTGGCTTTAGTTACATTAGCTGGACGCCCGATCAGGCTCAAGAAAGTGTCTTTTCAGCGCTCATGGTAATTGCAACATCGCTTGCATTGGGATTGCTGCTTGGAATGGGTCTTCAATCTGTGATTACCGCCTTTTATCGAAGAACTGTCTTGTATTGGATCGACTCGATGAGTTCAATGAGTAAATCGACAAGGAACTTCCGTGCCAAGATGCGAGTGAAGAATGATGAACGACAAGGGCTCATGAATACACCCGAAGACGACGATCCTGATTCTGGGGAACTTCTTCCTACTCCCCTTCCTGTTACCAACGAACCTGTCGCGGAAGTGGAAAAGCCTCTTTCCAACGTGATGGAAATGGATGACGCAGACAATGATAAGGCATCTATTGCAAGTGCGTAGCTGCACTCTTTAACTTTGTAATACGCAAAGTACTGTAATCAACGAAGAAAGGTGATATGTATTGTACTTGTAGATTGCGCCATCTTCACAAATTGTCGTTTCACCTTTGGTATGATGTACAGTATATTGAATATTAATTGTCGAAAACTTATATTATCGACTAATGCGACTCCCAAATAAAAATGAATCAATCTCGTGATTTGAATTCTGATCACCAATAAAAAGAGATGACCAGTATCTCTCATGTTGTTCTTGGGATAGCCATACTGCATTTGATCACACCTTTACTAGCTTTGGAAAACAGTCGCCACGATGCAAGAAAGAAGGTTTTGGATTGGCTAGCGGAAAACCCAGAATTCAAACTCAATGACAAGCTGGCAATGCGAGATGGCAGTATTGTGGTGGAGGAGACTATTGAGGCAGACGAAGTTCTCATGGTGATTCCAGAATCCAAGATTCTTACCGTGGATGATGAAGAAGATGAGGACCCAAGTCTGTGTCTACTCTTTGAGTATTTAGACTACGAAATTGGCCTTGGTGAAGAATCAAAATTTGCGCCATATATATTTCAAATACAACAGGAACAGGCGAGCGACCTCTTGCTACCTTCCTTGTGGTCAAGCACAGCACAGCGATTAATAATGGTCGTCAGTATCACATCTCCAAATTTCGACATTGTTTCGCTGATTGACGATTACTCTGAGTGCATTTATTACGCAAAAGAGGACGAGGACATTGTAGACGAGGACGTCGCTCAAGAGGACATTGCAGACAGGGACATCACAGCCCCGGTTGCTGAGAAGCACCAGGTCAAGCATCCAGACGACTCCAAAACTGAAAATAAAGCTCTTGAGATATCACCGGAAGATAAGGTCGATAGACTTATCCTGGCTCTTGCAATAAAACACCAGATCGATCAGACATATTTTGTCCCATTGTATGATCAGCTCCCACACCATCACCTGACCTACAATGTCAAGCACAGCGTTCGCGATGATGATGCGATCGAAGTTGTGGCGATAGAAACCATTCCTGTCGGGGATGAAGTCGTCAGACAGACCAAATCGTGTTTGCAAAATTGCAGCCCCCTCGAAACTACCGTAGCGATCGATACGCTGAAAAAGTATGGGGAGGTTCAACCCTACCCGCACTTGTGGAAGCTTGGGAATGATCTTTCTTTCATTTACAATGGTAATTCTCCAGAGCCAATCGAAGATACAATGCGGGGAAAAGGAAAGTCTGTGAAATGGATCAACCCGCCCACCAGAGAGTCTCAGCTAGAAATCATGGACGAGGAGCTGACTCGACAAAGAAAGGCATACAGGAAAGAGGTGCTCTTGTCAACAGACAGCGTGGATCCAAAAGAGTGGGAACAAATTGATAGGTATTGTCGGTCGCTTATGGGTGCATTGAAGGATGCGATCAAAGAGGGATATGAATATTTGGATACTCTGGAAACGCTTCAAGGGAATGGAGATTCGCAGAGCGACGACGATTCTGAAGATGAAAGCCAAGAGCCATCAGATCATATCACCGAAAGAGACAATAGTGTCGATGGGTCGTGTATTGCAGACGACGTGGCTAATGAACAATATCAGGAGGCAGAGGGTGTCATTCCGGGATCAAGCATGGAAAGGGTACAAGAAGAAATGTTAGCGATGAAAGATGCATTGCACCATGATTATTTTGGGTATTTGCAGGGTGAAGCGAATGATCCATGGCTGGTGAAAGGTTGCGGCACTTCTGAGAGATGTACTATGGTACATATTGCAAAGTCGAGAGGATGCAACTCCTATGACTTCAATGCACGACGGAATCAAACAGAATGGGCGACGATGCGAAGTGCCTACATTGCAACAGTTGGGCCTCGGAGAGCATCGATAAAGCTGTCGTATGGCTCTGGCTTTCGGATACCTATTAAGATTGCCCACTCACCAGGCCGCGGAAGAGGCGTTTTTGCGACCACCGATATCCCCAAGGGCACCCTGGTTTGGACTTCAGACTTCACAGCAACGTTCGAAGAAGGGTTTCAGTTTCGAAAGTTCCTGTCGGTATTGCCCGATGACATGGTCTGCGACCTTCTATTTTGGTGTTATACGATGAAGGATGAAGGTGAACATGTCATTGCTTGTGATCTTGACGAATCGAGTCTCTTCAATCACGCGGATCATCGATTCGAATACAACATCGGCGAGATACCGGTAACCAACGAGGGACGAGAAGAACAGAAAAGAAAAACTCGAGATATTGATTCTGCATTTTCCCTCAGAGACATAGATGCGGGAGAAGAGTTGATTACATCATACGATGAGTTTCATTCATTTGGGTTCGACGAGATGGGGCTGGCATAGTGTGGTCCTCCGCGAGGTCTCCCGATAATACGAGTTTTTCGCTGTCAGCCGTCTGACCAATTTTGCCAACGAAATCGAACCTGGTGGATCAACAGCTACTATTTTGTGTGGGCGATGGATTCATTGTTTGAAGAGTGGTGGCGACATGCTACCAATAACAGTTGAGAAGAAAACGAACTCATCATCATTGACCCCTAGTTTCCGGCCCGCAACAGTTTAACTTCCCTAATGAATGAAAGATGAATTCTCTTCGTGAGCTGACAATTTTGTGCTGAAGCAAGGATTCCCATGCACAGTGCCTACCGGTACATTGCCGTCATTGGACAATCAGTATTAGAATCTAAGATGTATTCTTCAGAAAATTACTTTATTGTGAAGGGCCGGAAGCTTTGACGTTTGCCTTTCCATTTTGGCGAGTCTCGGGGGATCAAGTCGACGCGCTTTTCTAAATACGGCGTCGTATCCGACGTCTCCAAATAACTACGTGACCAATGGCATCTCTCGAACGCACGGCCAACTCTGAAACAGAAATCTTTTTGAAAAATCGGAGAATCAATCAGCAAGTTGTCGAACAACCGGCATCTTGACGGATTTCCCATCCACAAACTCACTTCATTTGGGAAGAACCGAATCGATGGGACGATTTTGTAAGCTCTTGATAGCTGCCTGCCTCGGGCATTGTATTCAGGACAGCCTTGCCTCTAAATCTAATCTTCATGATAGAAGAAAACAGGTTCTAGAATGGCTGTCGGAACAACAACAAGAAGGTTTCTATTTCAACGGGAAACTTTCGCTACAGGATGGCAGGATCATTGCGAATCGAAATGTGGAGGCCGACGAAGTTCTCATGGAAATTCCAAGGTCAGCGGTGTTGAGTGTAGAATCAGACTATGAGGAAGGAAATACCTTATGTATGCTCTACAACGCGCTGGTACGAGAATTGGACCTGAAGGGTTCATCAAATTATGTGGTATATTTGCAGCAGCTTAAAGAAGAGCAGGCCTCAGACATTAACCTGCCGTCACTCTGGTCAAATACAGGACAGCGGCTCCTAGAACTTGTCAGTATGACATATCCTATGAATAAGATAACTTCTGTGCTTGAGGACTACTCACACTGTATTGATGGCTTGCAAAAGGAGGAAAAAATCAAGACAGATGAAGTGCGAGACGAATTTGGAATTTACAATGGAGAACAGCACGATAATCGTGCTGTGGAAGAGACACCAGAGGAAAAGACACAAAAACTCAATCTAGCTCTTGCAGTGAAACATCATATTGACCGGAAGTTAATGGTCCCTCTGTACGATCAGCTTGAGCATCACCATCTCAACTTCAATGCGAAGCATCAGATCTTGAAAGATAAGACCGTCAGAATTGTAGCCGTTAGAAATATCGCTGCCGGTGAAGCACTTTTTCGACCTAGCATGGGATGTCTCGAAGACTGCCGCGACTTTGCGATTGCCAATTTCATTGAAACTTTCAAGAACTATGGAGAAGTTCAAAACTACCCTCATTTGTGGACCTTTGGAGCCGGTATTTCTTTGATTTATCATGGCACCTACGAGGGAGAAAAGCGGAGTCGTCCAGCAGCGGTTGGAAACATTGAATGGATTGAACCGCCAAAATATGAGTCTCAGATAGCGCTGATGGCAAAGGAACATAGCGCCCAGAGAATTGAGTACATTGAAGAGGTTATTCCATCGCGTGAGTCTGTTGATGAAAGAGAATGGCTGCAAATAAACAAGTATTGCCATGGGCTGATGGATGTATTGAATGATATCGTTGTTGAGGGAAGTAAACTGGACTTGATTTCGGAAGAAGAAGAAGAGTATGACAGCGAAGATGAAGACAGCGAGGCTGAGGAAGACGAAGAAGGAGATAGTGACGGTGATGGTGAAGAGAGGGATACTGCAGATTACTTGGGTGCTGGTATCAGTTCAGAAGCTCGAGAGATAGCATCGCGCCTTGGCAATAGCAAAGAGGACGGGTATCCGTGGATGGTCAAAGGATGCGACCTTTCCGAAGACTGCACTCTTGATGATATTGAAGACTCCAGGGAATGTGGAGAGGAGTACGAATTCGATGCATACCGTAATGAAACGGAATGGGTTCTCATGCGTAGCGCTTACATTGCTGTTGTTGGACCTCAGAAAGCCACTCTGAAATTGACGTATGGCTCTGGAATCAAGGTGCCTTTCAGGGTCGGTCACTCACCAGGGCGTGGAAGAGGGGTATTTGCAACCGCTGATATTCCGAAGGGGACGCTTGTATGGCAAGCCGATTTTACTGCAACGTTTACGCAAGGGGAACAGTTCCGCAAGTTCTTGTCAGTGTTGCCAGATGACATGGTATGCGACCTTATTATGTGGTGCTATACTGCGGTGAGGACGGGCGGTGAAAATGTCATTGATTGTGATCTTGACGAAGGGTCACTCTTCAATTCATGTAAGTTTGTTGGGTCAACTTGGGTGCTTTGAGTTATATATTTTACTCACACACGCCGTCCTTCCGCGTCCACATGTTCAGATGACGAGCTGTCCGAGTACAATCTTGGCAACCAGAAAGTATCATTTGCCAATAGCGATCTTGATTCTGCCTTTGCAATGAGAGATATCCAGGCTGGAGAAGAATTCATTACAGCATATGATGAGTTCGACACTGAAAAGTACAACTCATTTGGACTGTAGCCAATTTCAAATTGGCTCAAAACCAACTGATACCATTGGGAACTACTGTACAAGATTTGTACCGCTGCCAATTTTTAAAATTTGCCCCCAAATCACTTATGCCATTAGGCATGCATTCCATTTATATCCCATTTAAAAATACAGAATGCAATCTACAAGAACGGACGGATAGCTTATTATATGGTTGTAGATAGTATTACAATAGATGCTCTGCCGCTTCAACTGAAGACTTTTGTGGAAACCGCCCATGATGAATACCACTTGCGAAATCCCCTAAACATTGTTCCCACGTTTTGCCAAGGAATATGTATCCTGGCTATAACAGTGAATACGCGATGGCCTCCCCTATTGCCGCAATCAGTGCCCCACCACAGCTTACAAGAAGTCAAAAGCTCCAGCAGGCCAGTATTTTTTTAAATAGGTATGGTCGCAGATCGGAAAATAATTGTCGCGCACATGTTTAGCAATTTGAAATAATATTTTAACGGTCCGTCCGCCGCTCAAGAAGCCCATTTCATACTATTTTGGCGGGAGACCCATCTTCTAAAATCACCCACAGACCTAAAATAAAATAATTCTCCATACTTAGCTTAGGTCCATATCTTGCATCCTATTGGGTGGGGCTGTCATCGTTATGCTCAGGGAAGGCACTGTAGCTCTATAAGTTGCCACTAGGACTGTTGTGGACTGAAATTGAAAATTTACAACTTACAAAATGTGCCTGAAATTCATGAAAGAATGCTACAATCCAGCTACTAATCGGAACTCAGATTGCCCACGAGTGATTTCAGGTCCCACTGTACTCATAAGGCACCAAAACAACCAATGATCTGAATTGCTGTCCAAAGCATCAATTACCTTCTTGACTGCAGTGAATGTCTAGAGCACAATCATGATGACCCCACCCAATAGGATGTAAGATAAGGACCTAAGCTAAGACTTTTGTATGGAGAAAATTTTTATTTTAGGTCTGTGGGTGATTTTAGAACCTGGGTCTTCCGCCATAATAGGGTCTGACGAGTGGCGGACGTACCGTTAATACATGTTATATAATATTTATATGGCAAAAACAAAATGTGTGACAAGTTTCACTCACGCACCACACTTTCAACTGCCAAAGAAAAGAAGTAAAAAGACTGCTTGGTGTTTTATTTCAACTCACGATGAAGCGTTTCCGGGAACTTGCGATTGCAACATGCCTCGGGCATTGCTTCGAAGCAAGTTTTGCCTCTAATAACTATGGCTCTCACAGGAAGAAAGTTTTTATTTCAACGAGAAACTGATGCTAAAAGACGGCACCATCCTCACTGAATTGAAGGGTTCGAAAATCACGACCATTCGGCGCAAGACACTGAACTAAGTCTCTTTGGAACGTACAGAGGTTACCAGCATGATAACCGAGCCATCATCGAAACAACGGAAGAAAAAGTACAAAAGTGTACTCTATCTCTGGTAGTAAAGCATCAAATCAACGAGAAATATCTCGTTCCTCTGTACGATCAACTCGAACATCACCAAGTCAACTACAATACGAACCACCAGGTCTTGGAAGACAATTCTGTGAGAGGCATGGCCGTTCGAGACATCGAAGCCGGTCAAATGCTCTCAAGGCCTAGTATGGGATGTCTGGAAAATTGCGATGACTTTGAGCATACCAATTTCATTGAAACTTTCAAGAACTATGGAGAAGTGCAACAATTTCCTCATGCATGGAAATTCGGAATGGACGTTGCACCCATTTATCATGGTAGGCATGAAGAAAAAACCAAGATAGTGTGGATCAAGCCTCCACGATACGAACGACAGGCAACTCTGATGGTAGCTCTGGAAATTCAGAGGCTGGAATACAAGTTCGAAGTCATACCCTCGCGGGAGACAGTGGGCGAAAGAGAATGGGTCCAAATCGACAGATATTGTCAATCCGTAGTGGAGGTGTTGGAAGACATGATTGAAGAAAGCAAGGCATTCGACTTAATTGGCGATGAATATGACGAGGACGAGGACGAGTACGAGCAAGACAGTGAAGACGAAAATAGCGATGATGAAGAAGGTAGCGATGATGAAGAGCACGAGGATGAACCTGTCGCAAATGAATCGAATGAAACAGGAAAAGAGAATGAAGTGCTTGTAAATACCGAGGACAGTACAGAAGCTCACGTGGCATCGGATTTTCTAGAGGGGAGAAACAGCTCCTCAAACGGTCATCCATGGATGGTTGATGGATGTGACCTTTCTGAAGACTGTAGTATTGACAATAAGGGGATGTGGGAAAACCTACTTTTACAACGCCTACCGAAACGAAACATAATGGGTTCTGATGCGCAGCGCCTATATGGCAATTGTAGGACCAGAAGCATCCTCAATCGAGTTGGACAGCTCTGGAATCGAAGTCCCGTCTTTGCGACTGCCGAAATTCCCAAGGGGACACTAATTTGGACCTCCAAATATACAGCAACATTCACGGATGGAGTGCAATTTCGAAAGGTTTTATCGATACTGCCAGACGACATGGTTTGCGATCTAATCATTTGGTGCTATGCCTCTGAGGGTGAGAATGATAGTGAAGGCATCCAGTCAGAAGATGGCACAAGTATTCCAGTTCAAGATTTCTTTGAATGTGACCTTGACGACGCATCCTTCTTCAACTCCTATGATCATCGATCCGAATACAATGTTGGCTCACAAAAAGGAAAGGTTGCAGCTAGTCCCGATGATGACAAGGCATATGCCATGAGAGACATTCTTGCGGGAGAGGAACTCGTTTCCGCATATGATGAATTCGACACTATGAATTACGATGCTTTCGGGCTACTGTAGCCACAATCATATTAAAAAACTATGTCGTGGGTGCTAAAACGAGGTATCTCAGGCAGCAGCTAGTATGATCATTGGTTATATAGAATACAAGATTACAGAACAGATGCCAACTTTCCAACTGCACTCCTTACAATCATCTTCGTCTGCCTCTTTCTCTGTTGGTCCCGCTCGAGGATACAAGAAGTTGCTGCGGGGCAAAGGTCATGTAAGTACAGATTAATACTGTAATGCTGTACAGGGTACCAGGTAGGAAGTACTAAGTTAGGCCATCGATTCCCCCAGAAGTTGGTGCTTTCGTTGGTCCCTGGAAACTCCCCTCTTTTGGTCAACAATCAACATCACATCGATATTACTTTGTATCGTAGACAGGGCAGTGTCAGAGTGGTCTCGAAGATGGGACCATGGCACCGAGAACCTTTTATTATGTAGGAAACAATACCACTTCAAATACTGCTACTAATACTACAACAGCATTGAGAGATGAATGGATGACTGACCTTGCATTGGATTCTTCCGTGGTGGAGATTCCCAAAGGTACCTTTTCGGGCCTTCGCAAGTTGGCCCAGGTGACGACGACGACGACGACTCTTTGTGCGAAAGACTCTGGTTGTTCTGACACTATAACCGGCAATGTAGTCAAAAATAATGAAAGGGGTCAACTGAAAGTAATTGGTGCAGAGGCCTTTTGGGATTGTCCTCATTTGAAGCATGTGAGCTTTCCCCATGGCCTGGAACGCATTGAAGCCTGGGCCTTTGGAAATTGTCCCAAACTTCATCCTCCCAAACTCCCCGATAATACTCTGATTTATGTGGGCCCATTTGCCTTTTGCGGATGCAACTTTCGGCACTTGAGGATACCAATGTCCATCACTCGTCTTTCAAACCGAATGTTGGAATGTTGTACCAAGCTGTATTCGATTGAAGTTCCGCCAACCTTGATCATGAGCCGAAACGACACTGCCTTTTATGGATGCGAGCGATTGCGCAATCTAGTCTTTCCCAATTTGATAGAGGAAGCGACGGAGGATGATGGACTACCGTCTCTGCTTCCATGGTGTCATGGCTGTGATGATTTGATACAAGTTGTTCCGGATCCCAATGAATTGACTACCGCCTTGGTGCATCGATTTGATGGACTACCTCTTCACCGCCTCTGTTACTATCAATCCTACTATGATAAAGACGATACCGGACAGGATTTGATCACAAATCTGAAGAAAGAGTGGGATAGAGCTTCATTGTTGACATCAAAGCAATCATCGGATCTGTCTTCAGTGGTCACAGGAGGGCCGTCGCCTCCTAGACACAGTACGTGCCAAGATTTTCTAGGAATGACGCCTCTGCATATCCTAGCCCTTTCCACTTCAATCCAGCTAGACTCGATGAAGGCCATGATTGAGTTGGATCCCATTCAACTGGTGACTGAAGATTTCTGGGGATTTCTGCCCATCTACTATGCATGCGAGAGCTGTCATGACAACTCAACCAGCAGTGACGACTCTATAGGTATCATGATGATTCGTCTGTTACTCCAGCACCATGTGACTAAATTCCCGGGCACCAAGCTAGATTGGACCAAGCTGGTAACGGCAACAGGGCATTACAAGTTGGCCAAACTATTACTTTCCGAGGCTAGTTTCATTTTGGACAATGTTCCAACTAGACTAGTTTAGTTAGAACTTATATATCATGGACTTTTCATTTTGGATTTTCTTAGAAACCAAACCCTAATCACTTACCTGAGTACCGGTACATCTACTGTAGTTTTCTTTGGAAATCTGCCAATTTCAAATTCGCTCGAAGAATTCTTTGCTTACGTACACGAACAGACGCCTCGCTTTCCATTGGTTGGCGGAATGACGGAACAGTTCTGAAACCTTGGGTTGGTTGAGACTTCACAAAGTACCAGGGCCTCGTGAAATCTACGCGCGCAGGTAAGACATCAAGCCGATAATAGGAAGATTGAGAAAGGAATAATCGAATCACGTCTTCAAGAATCATTGAAGGATTCGACCAGAGACACATTCTCATTGATCCAGCAAACAACACACACAACAAAAGCAGCGTTTGTGGCAAAGAAGAACCTCTACAACAGCCACCGTCTAGTCAGACACATCTCCGCAGAAACACATACTCAATCCACGACAACTTTCACCAAAACGACCAACGTCATCGACCAAAATGAAGACTACATTGATCACCCTCGTCGCCCTCTTCTCAATTTCGGCACAGGCTTTTGCCCCTAGTAGTAGTACTGCTACCAAAACCTCAGTACTCTACGCTGACACACAAGAAGCCACTAAGGAAGCAACGGTATCTCGACCCAAAGTCCAACAACTGGGACTTTTGACCTTTGATTTGGATGACACTTTGTATCCTATTGCCCCATGTGTGGAGGCTGCCAACAGTGCGTACATTTGAATATTATATTTCTGTCGATTTCAAGTGGATATGCTCATGACTCACATTGATTGTTGCCCTCTGTTACCTCTCTTCTCAATCATCACGACTGCCTATCCATTCCATATTTAAAATCCCAAACAAAAAATCACAGATGCCTTTGTCAAAGCCATGGAGAAATTTGGATTCCCAGGGCTCTCTGCCTTTGACATCGTCGAGACTGGAAAGCAAGTGCGAGAAGAAATTGCCAAAACAGACCCTCAAAAGGCTGCTGCATTGTGAGTATTGGATTGTTGCTAGATCTACACTTGGGCTACACTTGGGGTGTTGTTTCGAATTTGAATCTTTCTGACACATTTTCCTTTTCTTTTCTCACAGGACCCACACTGAAATCCGAGAACTTGCCATTCGCAGGGAGATGCAAAAGATCATCCTGGAGCGCAAGTTGAAATCGACCGCCGAAGATTGGGCCACTCAAGTGTCTTCCTTATCTTCAGTTGTTCGTAAGCATGCTGAAAAGTAGGTACATTTGTGTCATGCCATGATGTTCATTCTTCGTTTTGTATGTACTGTATGTATTCTAACTTCTCTCTCTCTCTCTCTCAAAACCTTTAGCTGGGCAAATACTGCTGTATCCGAGTCAGTCGTCCAATCGGTCTACACTGCCTGGGAAATGGAGCGTCACCATGCTGCCGAACGATACATCTTTCCCCATGTGATTGAATCGTTGAAGAAGATCAAGGAAGACCACCCCAATGTGGTCATTGGTGCCATTACAGATGGTCGTGCCAATCCTCTATTGATGACTTTTACACTCGCTCCGTATTTCGACTTTTGCATGTCCTGGGAAGATGATCAAGGTGGACGACAACAATTTTTCAAAGAACTCGATTCAGTAGATGGAAAAGGAGAGGAACTGAGTTGGATTTACGATGCGGCTCGACACAAGTATGCCAACTTGAAGCACGCACAAGATTCGATCAACTCGGCCCAAAAGAATGAAAAAATCAAACCACTGACATGGCCTGCTACCTATGACGATTTGGCTTGGATTCATGTGGGAGATGACTTGGCCTTCGATGTCGGTGGTAGTTCTGCCTGTGGTGCCAAGACGGTACTGGTGACACTTCCAAAGAGTTCGGGACAAGAAGCCCCTTACCGATTTGATACTTCAGTGAAGCAACCTAAATGGTCGACTACAACCGCCAAGGAATTGGAGACCCGTATTCGAATGAACGAGTTGGCACGTCCCCAAGTCAATGTTGAAATCAATACCTTGGAACGATTGCCCATTGCGATTGATGAAATTCTTCGTGGGGAGGCATAAACGAAACAGTTACGATGTGTACTGTACACTGTTCAACATGCATTCCAACTGGATCATGGAATCGCAAATTTCCACTTTTTAGTTTCTCTGATTTTTTTCATTCTCTATGCAATTCATCATAGGACTATATTCGAATCTACAGTAACTATATAAAAATACATTAGGAATTATTATAGAAGAAAAAGACTAGCGATCGATTCAAAACTGTCAACTAGGAGATGGCATTGCATTCGATGTAATACCACCATGATGCAACGAAACAAAATACTTTAACCAGAAGTTTGGTCTTCACCACTTTGCTCCATAATCTCATCAAAGTGTTCCCAAATGTGTTCCATCCCTGTATAATTGGTCAATGCATGTTCATGGGTACCACCCCATATCGTCTTTATATTCCCAAAGCGATGTTTCCAAAAATCGCAATCGTGGTGCTTTTCCCCAAGTATCTTGGCATCCTCGTGTACCTTGTGGGACTTGATGTATAAAGACGAAGGGCCTTCCACCAAATCTTTCAAGGGTCGATTGTGTTTGGTCCAATTGATATTATGATTGGAATCTGTAAAGGCGACTGCTTTGATTTGCTGAAGAAAGTTCATGCCAGTCTGTATGTGAGAATCTTGGGCGTTGGAGGGTGCAATGGTTGGGACCCCCTTTCCTTTTGTTGTTTTTGGTACTGTATCCTTGTCAAAGGTCTTGTCATGAAGGAATCGAACAATTTGAGAACCTGCCATACTGTGCGCCAATATATAGACTTCTTCGTCCGTTTCTCCGTGATCCAAGAATAGTCGTTCCAGACTGGTTTGGACACACTGCATAGCGTTTTGGCCCCCACCTCCATTGGGATCCAAGACTGCCACATCCATTTTTCGGTGAATGGCTCTTTGGACAAAGGGCAAGGCTGTCGATGTTTCGATACCATTCGTCATTAAATGTCGACGAGAAAAGATTCCAGCTCCCACCTTGCCCTTTCCCGTTACAATCAGCAAGAGTGGTCGTCGAAAAGAACGATTCCGCGTCACCATAGCATTGATTCCATCTCCCAAACTCTGCCATTCGAGATTGCCTTCCTTCATCATTACATGTTGAGCACACTCCGTACATAACCTTGCTACTTCATCATACATTTTGCCGTGTGCAATAAATAGCTGATGATTCTTTTCCGTAATTTGTGTGTTGGAAGACTTGTGAAAGAGTAAATGCCCGGAAGGTTTAGTCGCTATCCCATCTGGAGATTTCGAAGCAGCACTACCTCGTGATTCATGCGTGGACAAGGAAAACATGGTTGTGGCGGTTTGCAGGGATCGATCGGATCCCATGCGGCTAATTGGTTCTCCAAGCGGAACAAAGAACTCACTTGGTTCAATGGACATTTCTCTGACCCCATAGGAAATGTCCTTTTCTTCATCTGATATTGATACGTCGTCATCATTATCATTGTTATCGTCTCCGGCACTATCATCACTGTCCGCTGATGATAATTCGGAGATTGCATGTTGAAACCGTGCGGACTTTTTTAAATCTGTTTTGTCATCGCTGTTGCTGTCATCGCTGATGGATACATGGTCCGGTGCATGGTCCGGTTCACCACCATCTTGGATGGGTATTGAATATTCACCATTTTGATTCTTTTTCGCTTCCTCCTGTAATTTCTGCCGTAATGACAATTCCGCTGACGGTGATGAGAAGGGCATGCTGTCGCTCTTAGTTTGACTATTCCCATCCTCCTCCTTATCAGTAATATATCGAAATTCCAATCCCAACCCGGACAAACCTTCCGCTCCATGTTTGTCGGCAATCAGGTCACACATTTCTTGGACATATTCCAAATGTTCTTCGGCATTATTACAACCAAAGAGTAGTTTAATATGCTTGCTGGTGGACTCGTCTGTAAATGTTACTTTCTTATTCCCGCTCGTGCCCTCCCAACAATTACCCTTGCCTGATAGCAGATTCCCCATATTGTCTCATACGTGTTTTGTGTCTGCCGTCTGTGAATTCGATGGTATTCCAGCACTGTGATATTCTGATTGAATGACTGAAGGAAAAGAGTCTAGAGAAACCAACCACACTTGAATGGGAATGTGTTGCCGATTTGTGCGATCGATGTTGATGCTTGGTCTTGTGTGTATGAGGCAACGGACTTTGCAGGGACTTGACTGGTTGAACGAATGAATGGGACCAATGAATGAAGGCATCATGTGCCGAGGAGTCCTGAAAGGCCGAACCTTCGAAGTCGGATGAGTCGTTAATCGCCAATGCGAACCTCACGGCCTGCGTGTGATGACCTCTACTGTACCATACCGGTACTCCCTGAGGTCTGCTGGTGGATGCATACTGTACAGTACTGAACGGGACCAGTACTATCGGTACTAGGATGCTATTGCAATATGTTTACTAAAATTGCCTTTATGGTTAGGCAGCGAGCAGCTACCGACCTGTGGTCAATTGTTCAGCCATACTTGAGCAGAAAAACAGCTATCATTGGGCTAGAATGAAGGAAACCCACCTAGTATGCAGGTCCGTTATCTTTACTTCCACATCTTTAGTTGCGCTAGTTCATCCAAGAGTTCTTTGCCAAGTTATATATAATACATCTTCTGCAGAATCATCGCCGCGGTGGTATGGTACTGGTACCTGGTACTGGTACTGGTACTCATCATTCATAATGTGGTCTTAGAAAAAGGTCAGTCAGCGCAGCGTCAGTTCGTGAATGAAAGCTTAGAA